GTTGGATACAGATAAGAACAGGTTAACTTGAGACTGTTGGATACAGATAAGGACAGGTTAACTTGAGACTGTTGGATACAGATAAGAACTGGTTAACTTGAGACATTTGGATACAGATAAGAACTGGTTAACTTGAGACAATTGGATACAGATAAGGACAGGTTAACTTGAGACTGTTGGATACAGATAAGGACAGGCTAACTTAAGACTGTTGGATATACTTAAGGACTAGACAGTGAAAAAAGATAACGAATGATTAACTTGAATATAGTTTGAAATAAAACAATAGCCGGTGTCTAGCTTCCAGAACCGTCCATCCTGTATGTCCTTCTTTTGATGTTAAAGTTTGTGATAGATTAGAAGGCTTTCGTGAGACAGAAACTTACTTTTTGGAAAACATTTTAAAGCAGTTTATTCATAGTGTTTCGAAAAAAAATATGTATTTGCTTCGATAATTTCCAAATGATTTGACAAAAGCCGTTTCAGTCGTTAAGCTATTTAATTAAAAGTTTACCAAGCTGTTAACTAAAAAGCAGCTGTTCTGGGATAGGGGCAGAATGGTTCGGTGTGTAAGGAGACAGATATGGTGATAAATGTTAAACTGTAAGTACATGAATTTATAATACTATGTCTAAGTTTGACGAATGGGACCTGCCAAACGAGAAATCACATTTCAAGGTTTGTTTTTTGCGTGCCCCAGGAAAAATGAATGAGTAACGACGCTTTAAATCTAGGCCACTACTTGTTAATTCAGGGTCGTTATGCAGATAGAGGGGGCCTCAGATTGTTATTGATCTAACTGTCTATCCGGAAAAGGATTACAATTCAACAAAGAAAACAATTCTGTTTGCTACTAACAAATTTGTTAACGATTATTTTATTTAAAAAATCACGGTGAGCCGGTAATAATTTCTGTTATTGTTATGGCCAGATATTTTTTTTTCTTTGATGTAAAATTAATGAGAGCTCAGTCTAGCTGTCAAGGCATTAAACTGTATATTATTTTTAAGCAGACAATAAAACCTTCATTAAACACATTCTGTACGTGCAGCCTGTTATGTCTGATTTATAGAATCTAGTGTGAAACAATTTCCGTAAATAGGATATATCCGCTAGGTGGTGTAAATATAGGATTTGGATTCAAATATTTAATAAACAATACTGTGATTCAGAGTTTATGCTCAATAAAAAAAAAACTATATCGAATAAGAAATAATGTACCTCAGGGTAGCAACGTCAATTTAAAAAATAGAATTAAGGAAAAATAATAATAATTAGAAAACAACTTTAGCCTAACTTCGAGACGATTTCCAAGAAGTTCAGATTATGACAGAACAGCTAAGACTAATCTGTATGGGACATTTACATATAACTCAAACTGGTTTTACAACTAGTTCGAATGCTTAAAAAAGTTGCATAACGTTTTTTGTTCGATAGCCTGGGTGATACGACAGATAATTCAGTTAAACTGGTTCTTATTGTTCTCTGTTTTGAGTTAAACTTGGTTTGAATTTTTTATGTTGCACACACATCGATATGAATATCTAGAATTTCACAAATCTTTGTTACCACTACTCTTAACATAGGCGAAATCAGAAGTAAAGCTGGATCTCTATAGAATATTATCACCATTACCTCAAAACGTAGAGAACGTGGGATTTTCAGTTATTATACAATCGTAGATAATTTACTGCAGTAAGAAATTAGTTACTCGTCATATAAAAAAAAGTGAATTCTGACTTATTATTTTATAACTTTTCATCACGAAAAGAGAGGTGGATTATTTTTATACCTAATATATTCTTCCTCTCCTGTGTTCTTCGGTTAAAAATCAATTAACTTTATTTTGTGTTTTGTTCCTCGAATGTTTGTTTGTTTGGAATTAAGCACAAAGCTATACAATGGGCTATCTGTGCTCTGCCCGCCACGGGTATCTAAACCCGGCTTCTAGCGTTATAAGTCCGCAGACGTACCGCTGTGCTACTGGGGAGCACCTCGAATGTATCCTCCGATTTCAAACTTTTCTAACGAAGGGGGACAATGTGGGCAACATTTAATGAAAATATGGGCAACATTTAATGAAAATATGGGCAACATTTAATGAGAATGTGGGCAACATTTAATGAGGACGTGGGCAACATTTAATGAGGACGTGGGCAACATTTAAGATAACCGTTCTTACAAAGCGTCCGTGTAAGAGTAAAAATTAGTTCAAATTTTTTGTCTAAAAATGTAAGAGACAGAAATGTGAGAAACTATTCGAATGAATGACTTTGATTTGAATAATTAAACAAAAAGTTTCAAGAATTCTTATTAAAGCTTTTTTTTTCGTTTCTTTCAGGTAAAGAAATTATTTAATAAAACGAGTTCCTCTAAAAACTAACAATAAATTACATATATTAAATGTTTCAAGCACGTGAAAAATAACGAATACCAAACCAGTTCTGTATTTTATCAACAGGAAATAATCAAATCACTCTCAAAGTGGTTTCAGCTAATGCATAAATAAGACCTTCCAGTTTTAAGATTACATGTCAAATATATAATGTGCTACAGTGCTGCTACCTATTGTCAAAATTTACAAATAATACTGTATTTAACATACAATGTATTCGAGAAAGTGTGTATATCGAATGTCATTAGTATTTAATTTTGTTTTTATCTTTTATTATTTTACTTTTAACTATGATTATTTTTACTATTATACTAACTATGATAAAAGTACATAAGTTTTATTTCACTTTTGTGATAATCAAACTATAAATCTTTGATTTGTATCACAATAAGTGGACAATTCAGCTTCTGAATTCCATAAAATTGTTAACTTCATTCACAGAGCTGTCTGGTGGATGTGAAACAAAGCGACGACTGTGTTGTCTCTGGTGAATGTGAAACAAAGCGACGACTGTGTTGTCTCTGGTGGATGTGAAACAAAGCGACGACTGTGTTGTCTCTGGTGAATGTGAAACAAAGCGACGACTGTGTTGTCTCTGGTGAATGTGAAACAAAGCGACGATTGTGCTGTCTCTGGTGAATGTGAAACAAAGCGACGACTGTGCTGTCTCTGGTGAATGTGAAACAAAGCGACGACTGTGCTGTTTCTGGTGAACGTCAAACAAAGCGACGACTGTTCTGTCTGGTGGATGTGCAACAAAGCGACGACTGTGGCGTCTCTTCACCGATGCTGATGCAAAATAACACTCACTGAGCTATCTCCATGGAAACCGAAATTAGAGAACTTATATAGTTGAAGGAAAGTGCCATCAGGTGTCGGAAGGTTTGAGAGATTTTGTGTAAAAGTCTGAAAGCTATCAATAACACTAGCAAGTTTCTCATTTTCCTGATGGTATTGTATCTAAAAAAAAAAAGCCAGATATTTTGAACAAGTGAAGTGAATACCAAATTCTAAGACAATTAAAATCAGCTTTCTTCAATAGAAAAAAAAACATATGGAAACCGAATTTAATGACACGGTTGACATTCTCCAATTTCTCAAAGAAAATTAGACTTAACTGGCTGAAAATCGTCAAGTGATATATCTATTAGTACATGGCGAGGTGGTTAGGGCACTCGACTCGCAATCTGCAGGTCGCGTGTTCGAATCCCGTCCCACCAAACATGCTCGCCCTTTCAGCCGTGGGGGCGTTATAATGTGACGGTCAATCCCACTATTCGTTGGTAAAAGAGTAGTTCAAGAGTTGGCGGTGGGTGGTGATGACTAGCTGCCTTCCCTCTAGTCTTACACTGCTAAATTAGGGATGGCTAGCGCAGATAGCCCTCGTGCAGCTTTGCGCGAATTTAAAATAGAAAACAATCTTCCCAAAGGAACAAAAAAATTACTTTTTATAACGCCAGAGAGCGTGCAGCGAAGACTTTGCTGGGTCTTGTTTAATTAAGAAATAGAAACGTCCATTTTTACGACGCACGTGAAAGGCCTTATCTTTCATGTGAGTTTAAGAGACAACATTAAAACACGTTGTTAGTTAAACAATTAAAGGCCTTATCTTTCATGTGAGTTTAAGAGACAACGTTAAAACACATTGTTAGTTAAACAATTAAAGGCCTTATCTTTCATGTGAGTTTAAGA